TCATGGGAAAGACTGCTGACCTGACACCATCATTGACACCCTCCATAAGGAGGGAAAGCCTCAAAAGGTAATTGCAAAGAAGTTGGATGTTCCCAAAGTGCTGTATCAAAGCACATTAATAGAAAGTTGTGTGGAAGGGAAAAGTGTGGAAGAAAAAGGTGCACAAGCAGCAGGGATGACCGCAGCCTGGAGAGGATTGTCAGGAAAAGGCCATTCAAAAGTGTTGGGGACTTTCACAAGGAGTGGACTGAGGCTGGAGTCAGTGCATCAAGAGCCACCACACACAGACGGATCCTGGACATGGGCTTCAAATATCGTATTCCTCTTGTCAAGCCGCTCCTGAACAACAAACAACGTCAGAAGCGTCTTACCTGGGCTAAAGAAAAACAGACCTGGTCTGTTGCTCAGTGGTCCAAAGTCCTCTTTTCTGATGAGAGCAACTTTTGCATCTCATTTGGAAACCAAGGATCCCGAGTATGGAGGAAGAATGGAGAGGCCCAAGGACCCCGAGTATGGAGGAAGAATGGAGAGGCCCAAGGACCCCCGAGTATGGAGGAAGAATGGAGAGGCCCAAGGACCCCCGAGTATGGAGGAAGAATGGAGAGGCCCAAGGACCCCCGAGTATGGAGGAAGAATGGAGAGGCCCAAGGACCCCCGAGTATGGAGGAAGAATGGAGAGGCCCAATGGGGGACCCCCGAGTATGGAGGAAGAATAGAGAGGCACAAGGACCCCGAGTATGGAAGTCCAGGGTCAACGCAAAGAATGGAGAGGGCCCTTCCCCCGAGCTTTATGGAGGAAGAATGGAGAGGCACAAGGACCCCGAGTATATGGAGGAAGAATGGAGAAGGCCAAGGACCCCGAGTATGGAGGAAGAATGGAGAGGCCCAAGGACCCCGAGTATGGTGGGAAGAATGGAGAGGCACACACTGCAAGATGCTTGAAGTCCAATGTGAAGTTTCCACCGTCTGTGTTGATTTGGGAGCCATGAAGCATCTGTCTTCCATAACACCTGTGCCACACTGTAGCTTCCATTAAGTCCATTGAGGCAGTAATTGCGCAAAAGGGGCCGTCAAACCAGGAGATTTTGGTGCACTTTTCAGAGGTGCTTCCTTCCACAGATCCGTGTTTTATGGGGATTGCTGGAATATTTCATTTTCTGAACAGGACTTGGCACCTGCCCACAAGCCAAAAGCACCAAAACCACGGCTCAATGATCCGTGGGCATGTACTGTGCTTGATTGGCCAGCAAACTCGCCTGAGCTGAACCCCATAGAGAATCTATGGGGCATTGCCAAGATAAAGATGAGAGACATGAAACAGAACATTGCAGAAGAGCTAAAGACATGCAGCAAAGTAGATTTTGGTAAACATTTATATATATAAATTTAATTTTTAATTTTTGTTGGATAGGTTTTATAACAGAAATGAGAAAATATTGGGGGATTTTCCCCAAAAAGTCTGTCTTGTTTATATATTAAAAACTTTAATAAAAAAAAAAAACTGTGGAGATCAAATATTACCAAAAGAAAGCTCTATTTGTGTGAAAAAAAAAAAAATAATATAAATTTCATTTGCGTACAGTGTTGCATGATCAAGCAATTTCCAAGTAAAAGTAGCGCAGGTCAAGGGGTTAACTAACCCCTATCATATGCAGGTCAAAAGTGAATCCTTGATCGGCTTTGAATGAAGCAGAGTAATTACAATGTAACAATAATTTTGCTACATTGTAATATTTATTGAAACTATGACTCGAGTGTCAATTTACATGGGAACAGCTACAAAGCAAGATACAGAACCATATTAGTACCAAGACCAATTTGCTGCCAGAGATCTGCATAGGAGGAAGTGGGAGGAGCCGGGTGCATGGCGTACACCAGTAGAGGCGTTACAATTGGTTACATTGGCTTCTTCATAATACAGTGCAGTCATTGGCTACTGGGAGTGTACTTCCTGAAACAAATGTTTTTTTCACATCAAACTTTCTGTATGAGAAGCAAAGTCCTGTAGGGGGCGTGGCCATGAATCCTTCTCCAGTCTCTCAAGCCAGAAGTCCCAGATTATTGGTAGTAGGGACTGGGGTGGTTATTTTATGTACAGTTGTGCTCAAAAGTTTGCATACCCTGGCAGAAATTGTGACATTTTGGCACTGATATTGAAAATATGACTGATCATGCCAAAAAAATGATGATCATATGAAGCCATTTATTATCAAATAGTTGTTTGGCTCCTTTTTAAATCCTAATCATAACAGAAATCCCCCAAATGGCCTGGATCAGAAGTCTCCGCCCCCTGGATCAGAAGTCTCCGCCCCCTGGATCAGAAGTCTCCGCCCCCTGGAATGTTTGGCCTTGGTACAGACACACAAGGTGACACACACGGGTTACAATGCCAATTAGAGGTTAATGTCCCACATCTGTGGCTTTTTAAATTGCAATTAGTGTCAGTGTATAAATAGTCAATGAGTTTGTTAGCTCTTACATGGAAGCACTGACTAGGCTAGATACTGAGCCATGGGGATCAGAAAAGAACTGTCAAAAGTCCTGCATAACAAGGTAATGGAACTTTCTAAAGATGGAAAAGGGCATAAAAAGATGTCCAAGAGCATTTTTTGGCGTGATCAGTCATATTTTCAATATCAATGCCAAAATTTCACAATTTCTGCCAGGGTATGCAAACTTTTGAGCACAACTGTATACAAATGGCCGTTGTGTTTTGTGCACAGTATTATAACAAACCAAATGTCGTTCAGTTAGGGTTTATGGGTTTATCATTTCATCCTTCACTAAATAAAACTGTACATGTTGTTTCTTATTTTATATATAGAAAACGGTTTGTGATGTCCCCAACCTCACTTGTTCTGGAATGGTCACATTTTTGGCAGTTTCTATAATGTACAATAGGGAGAGGATGAAGTCCAGACTGATGTAAAACTGGGTCCCAACTCTGAATGCCCAGCGTTAGGCGAACTAAATGGGGTGTTCACCCATCCCAACCTCCAGCTGCAGAAAGACTTCTACTACTGCTGCTAAATAAATAAGACAGCTTCCCTCTCAGGGCTCCTTGTTGCTAGGAATCCAGCAGCCACCAGCACCCTAGCAACCAAGGACATATTCCCTGTCCCAATTATCTGCCAGCCAGGAGATTACAGGCCAACAGCTGAATGTAAAACAAAGGGTTGGTTGCTGGCTGACACCATTGACCAAATCTAGCCATGGCCAGACTCATTCAATGGACATTACCCAGCATCCCTGCCCCTTTTTACAGTCAAGCTGCCTTGATCTGTGGCATTGATAGCAGGGGCTGACTGACCAAGGAAAATAGGGGTCAGTGGGGCGCCCCTTGAGATGCCCTTGGTACCTTTTTCATAGGCTTTTTTGAGCTTCTGATCCCCTATTGCCCCGGGGGTCCCATGAGTTGCAGTCCGCCCCTGTTGATAGGTTGACTTTTCTGTTTTCTCTGGTTGGAAGGTGTTATTTTTTGATTGATGATGGATCTACATCACTGAATGACTTGACTGACAATTTACACTGTGGGAAATTTTATTCTTTAACCCCTTGCCGTCCTGAGGATCCCCCCCCCTTCCCCTCCCCTGACCAGGCCAATTTTTGTGTTGCAGCGCTGCGTTACTTTAACTGACAATTGTTTGCTATCATGCAACGCTGCACCCAAATAAAAATTTACAACCTTTTTTTTCCCACTAATTGAGCTTTCTTTCAGTTGTATTTGATCGCCTGTGTTTTTTTCAAATTTTTTTCGCTATAAAAAAAAAAAAACTGACAATTTTGAAAAAAAAAAACAAAAAAACAATATTTTGGACTTTGCTATTAAACATGTCCAGTAAAAGAAAAAAAAAAATCTAATTTCATCATGAATTTAGGCCAAAATGTATTCTGCTCCATGTCTTTGCTAAAAAAAAAAATCCCAATACGTGTAAATTAATTGGTTTACATGAAAGTTATAGTTTACAAAAGCGGCTATATTTTTTTTTTTACTAGTAATGGTGGTGATCAGCAACTTATAGCAGGACTGCGGTGGACATTCTGACATTCTGGGGGGGAACTGACTTGGTGTCACTGACATCCCCTGTGACACCAATACAGTGATCAGTGCTAAAAAAAAAGCACTGACACTGTACTAATGGCACTGGGCAGGAAGGGGTTAACAATGAGTGATCAAAGGGTTAAATGTGTACAGGAGTGTTTTACAAGGGGGGTGGTGTGTTGGTGTTTCACTGTAAGCACACTGTGCACAGCCATGCAGAGCAGTGTACCCGAGCCGACAGGGAGGAGGATTGTTAGTAAACAAACCAGTCCTCCTCCCCATCAGAAATACTTGCAATCACCGGGCACCAGTGGGTAATCACTGGCCGGGACCTGGTGATTGACAACCAATGGAGGTGCGGGTAGAGCTTGCTGCAATCGCACCCCCTACCCGGTCTTTCTTTTTATAAAAAAAAAAAAAAAAAGCAGAGCTGATAAAATACCACCAAAAGAAAGCTCTATTTGAGGGGGGAAAAAAAGGACATAAATTTAATTTGGGTGCAGCGTTGCATGACTGCACAATGTCAGTTAAAGTAACGCAGTGCCATATCGCAAAAAAAATGGCCTGGTCAGGAAGGGGGGGAAATCCTCTGGAGGGCAAGTGGTAAATGTACTGTACCCTTATTGGGATTTTTTTTTTTTTTAGCAGAATTTTTTGGCCTAAATTTATGAAGAAATTTTTTTTAAATTTTTTTTACTGGCTATGTTGGGGTTTTTTTTTTTCAAAATTGTCAGTTTTTTTGTTTATAGCGCAAAAAAAAAAAAACAAAAAAAAAAACCCTCAAAGGCAATCAAATCCCACCAAAAAGAAAGCTCTATTTGTGGGGAGAAAATGGGGTTCAGAATAACCCTCGTACTTTGGCTCATTTGGCAAACCTCCCATGACCTGAACCAAGGTGTGTTCAGCTCATCCGTAATGTACAATATAGAGGGATGAGTTCTAAGTGTCCTTGAATTCTTACTGTATCCTTTGGTGGGGATGTGCAGTGTGGGTATAAATGGGCGGGCACTGAACTCCTCGGCGTGGGTCAGCAGTGCGTCCTTCACCGTCTCATAACCACAGAGGACCACCACCGGCTCCGTCAGTTTCCAGATGGTGAACACCGAGCCGTACTTTTGGCTGAGCTGTCATAGATAAAATAAAATGACAAGAGAGAGTCAGAGGTCAGTAGCATCAGGAATCCTCCCTCTGCGGGATCAGAGACTTGCAGGCACCCCCAGATCACGCCTTGTTGCCAAATAATATGTAGCAGCTAAACCCAATATTTAATGTAGATGTACCTCCCTGTTCCCTGCCTGTCTCTTGCTTCAGGACATGCAAGGAGGGGGGGGGAGCTGGGAATAAGGCCGGCCAAAGATGGTTCAAATCACAGCTGGTTCAGCAGGAACTGGCTGAGATTTGACCCACGTATGGGGCGGGCTTGAATGTCGATTGAGCAACTTGGGTACAACCAACCTGCCAGATTTTGCATGCAATTTAATCACTGTCTTCTACAATAGTACATTAGTAACAAATTTAAATGAATCAGAAATATAGAAACAAAATTCAAATTTGAAACAATCGAATTTGAAACACATTCAATTCAAATTCTACAATGAATTCAAATCAAATTGGAAAACAATAATGGAATAAAATAGAACAGAAAAGAAAATAAAAGAATAGAAAAAGAATAGGACTGAACTAAATAAAGTGAAGCAGAAGAGAAAATAAAAGAAAATAGAGAATAGGGAACAGAATAGGATAGAAAATAACATCTTCCGAACTTCGAACAGAATTTTAATATAAATTAAATAGAAAATAAAAATGGAAAAAATAGAACAGAATAGAATAAAATAGAAAGAACATAACTATCTTCCAAAATTTAAATTTTCGAATAGAATTAATTCAAATAGAATAAATTAATCCAAATAGAATAAAATAGAAAAGAAAGAATATAGCCATCTTTCGAAATTCGAATTTAAAAATAAAATAAATTCAAGTAAGAATATAAATGAATAGAACAGAAAAATATAATAGAATAAAAAAGAAAGAATATAACAGTCTTCCCAAATAGAAAAAAAAAACCACAACAAAAGAATAAAATAGAATATAAACCATCTTCCAAAATTCAAATAGAATAAACTTGAATTCAGATAATTTGAAAAGAATAGAAAAAAAAAATAGTATAGAATAACAGAATATAACAGTCTTCCGAAATTCGAATAGAATAAACTTGAATTCAAATAGAAAATATTAGAATAGAAAAGAATTGAATAGAAAATAAAATTGTGTTTACACAGCCCTGCCAACAATCACCAAGTCCCGGCAGGGATTCTCAGCAAAGTGGTAAGACCGACATCTAGAATTTTGGAAACATTTCCACAGTGCAATTTCTGCTGAGAGCAAAGCTGCAATGTGCAAATATTGTGAAAGGAAATATTCTTTTCCAAATGCTACAAGTAGGATGAAACACATCCCAGCATGGCAGAGGTGCCCTAAAGACATTTAAAAACTTTATAGAATGAATGAGGAGGACCAGGATGAAAGTGCAAGCAGCTTTTCACTGCAGAGTTCTCATTCTCGAAACACTTTCTGCTGTTGGATTGTCACAAATTTTAAAAATCAAGTTTAGTTTATTTACGGAATATGCTGCACTTTTATTTCAAGCATAATCCTTTTATGTACACTGCTTTTCACCTTCCCAGTTTAACGAAATGACTTTCAATTGGTAGAAATACTCCAAAGTTAAATCCTTTTTTTTCCCCAATTTTTGCAAAAAATTTAAATGTTTTCCGGAAAAAATTTTTCCTGCGGTTTCAAAATTTCCAGAAGTTTTACATCTCTATCCGGCATGGAATACAAAGACATTTTGAGGGATACAGGGTTGAACTGTCCACCAGCTCTTGTTCCACTTTACATTTTTCAGACCGAAGGCATGGAGGGAAGCCCTGTATACTTTGCGAGGCCTCACACAGCATGGCTCCAGGCCAGGTCCCTGAGATGGTTCTGTTCCACAGGGGGTCCTAAAATAGAGACCCAACTGAAGGGTAAACAATACAGCTACCAGTCCACCCCTTATGGTATTTCTGTCTCCCATACACCACCACCTCCACTCTGCAGAGCTTGCTGCTCTTCCTTCTTCCTTCCTCTGGAGGAACCCTAGTTGAGAAACCCTGTTCTAGGAGAAGAGAGAGTTTGTGCTCCTATTGTCCATATGACCTTGGGGAACAAAGTGTAAATCTTCAAGTTCACCCTCTGGATGGTGAAGAGTGAGAAGAAAGAGAAGGAAGAGCAGGTCTGCACACACCTGTGCAATCAGTGTCCTGGCCATTCCCAAAACCTGGTCCCAGGATTGGCGATTTCATCCCTCCCAAATCGCTTTGAAATCTCCAGGCTCCAGGTCCCAAAATGGACCTTACAAACAAATGAGGAAAGTGAAAAGCCACTTTCCTCTGTATCAAACACTTACCCTGGAGCCCCTGTCAGGGATCGTTGTCCCTGCCACGATGCGCCGGGCGGCGCATGCGCAGAACACTGATGCATCCTAGCCGGCGAGCAGCGGGACCTGGGCGATCGCGACGGTTGCGCATGCGCATTTGCGATCGCGCGCCTGGCACCAATGACAGCGCAGGGCGGGCTCTATTTAAACAGGACAAGAGGTATGTCAAGTTGCCGTTTGGTCTTATTTGCTCTGTTCCTGATACCTGATCCTGTGTATATTCCGTTGCTGACCTCTGCTTTGTACCTGACCCTGCTGATTGTCTCCTGCTTAACCCTTGGCTTGCCTGACCATCCTTCTGCGTGATCCTCTGTACCACGCTGCCCGCTAGTTACCGAACCCTGCTTGTGACCCCGACCATTCTCTGCTCACTCCTCCGGTACCTTCGCTTCCTTCACATTGCTGACCTGGCCTGCCTGACTACACTTCACGTCACCCAGACGATCCATCCATCCCGCACGGATCGTTACCGGGTTACCAGGTCTGCCAGACTCTTCACATCAGACTCCTTTCCCCGCACTCCCGACGGTGCTCTCTACCATTGCCGGACTTACTCAGGGGTCGCGACCTGGTCTCAGTCTGCTCCAAGTCCATCCCTACCATCAGGGGCCCTAGATTGGGACTTAGACCCGCGCCCTGAGGAACCCTGTGCTAGAGACGCCGCCAGGCGGATCGTGACAGCCCCTCAACCTGCCTTATTGAGAATCCCAGGTGAAATAACCTTTCAACATCTTGAGAGATCGCCACACTGTCACATATATATATATATATATATATATATATATATATATATAAAATAATATGTGAAAACCCAGCTACTACCTTGTGAAAGTAAATACATCCATGGAGTAACTGTGCCCAAAAGAATATAAATAAACTCAATGACAATCAGCTAAGTGCTGATTTAGTGCACATAAATCAAATAAATGAATGTATCAGAGAAACGTCCATATAGAAAAGTCCTATCATCTTGTGAAGGTCTTGAACCATGTACCCGTTTATTCCTCAGGAGGTAAAAATGTATTCTTAACACATGCAAATGTGTCACCCCACATTGTGCTCAAGAGAAGCTTACCAGATGTGTTTGACCCCCATTTTACTAAATGGTCAGAAACAGCTCAATGATATCAGATACTGTCAGCCTCCTCCACACCATCAGATGTGACACAGTTATCATCCGCTTGCTTCGTGGTGACCAACAACTCGTGATATGTCAGGCATCCACAGGCAACATGTGTAAAGGAAAAAGGCTTTCCATCGTGTAAAACGATAGTAAAAAAGTATATTATAATAAAAATTGCAGGACCCCTGATGATGTCACATCTGACGAAATGCATTGGGTAAAGCAGGGGCGTACGTCACCACGCATGAGTGCACACTCGCAGCCATCTTTGATATGGGAGCAGATCAGGAGTTTGTTTGTACAGTGCAGTATTTTCTCTTGTACCTTGTAAGTGCAATGTTTATCATAGATAAAATCCAGAAGCTAAACAGGAACTCCCACCAATAATATGTAGTGCTCCCTCTAAGGAGCCGCTGGTGAATTTGGTCCCATTTCCCCCTTAGAGCACACACTGGGAACTTTGATAGTGATAGAGAGCATGGTTTACCCCAATAAACTGTAAAACTGAACAACTTGAGGACTCCTCAACTTTTGGCTGAGATGCCCAAAAATGAATGCCCCACAGGATCTCTATGCTGATGGTGACTTGTACTCCTTCCAGAGTTAAAAGCTACGGTCACTATTCTTCAGCACTGGGGTCATCTACTTACATAGCCACAGGATCATCAGTTGGATCCTGTTGATATCCACCAGGCTCATCCTAGTGAGGGAGATGCAGATTCACACCATCATAGGACTCTTTCCCACCACCTTACTCATGGCTTTCTCCAGTAGCTTCTTCCAGACCAGACTTGATCCCCAGAAGTGGATTTGCAAATAGACCCCCTGGCTAAGCCTAGCTGGGACCTCAGGGTCTTCTTGAAGACTTCCTCTTCATTGTGCACCAAGGGTAGAGCCCTTGCACAGGGGTCTCCTCCTGCAGGACTGGACCCAGGAACAATGCACCCTGAAGCCCAAACTATTTATGGGCTCTCTCACCACCTACTGGGCACACCTCCACAGGGATTAGCTAGAGTCCCATAAATATTCAGGCCGCATGCTCTGTCCTTCCTCCCAGATTCTAGAATCCTCTAGACGACAGGAGAAAGTAGCAGAGCAGCACCCTGTGAAACACTGAGCAGACCTAAGTAATCAACCTCTACTCCTCTGATTACAGATGAGGCAAACTAAATTTACCTAGTGGCCTAGTCTACACTAGGAGGGCACTACAAATAGTTTTGGAATCCAAAAATATAAATTTCATCAACGATAACTAGCCAACACTTTTTGTGGGGTTATAAAAATCCCCCCCCCCCCCTTTCATCAGGGCAAAAAAAAAGATAATGTGTATGTAAATAATAAAAAATGTCTCTATTGTTACATCTATAATAAGATTCTTTCAGCCATGATGAAAGGGGGATACTGTATTATCCCCAAAAGGAGTTGGATTGGTACTTTGGATTTCTATTACAGACTCCAGAACTACTGGTGTAACACTTCAGTTTTCCTACACATTCTGAATCATGTTAAAGTTATATTAAACCCAAAAACACCACTTTTTAGATGCTGTGACTGCATTTGTTTACTTTTTGCCTTCATTTACACCTGGTATCCTGCCAGCAAGTCTGTTATAGCAAAAGCGGCAAAGAGATGATTGGAACAAACCATTTAACACTGACAGGGGTTCTTACAATGATCAGCTTTTATTCATTTATGTAAAACCTTTATCCCAAAAGGGGAAAAAAAAATACTTAACTGCCTACAACTACCACTGTTAGCTGGAGTTCTGCTTTAATCTTTCAGTCAAGTCCATCTAACATTACCCTCCCCCCAGATTGACAATGCTGCTGCCCAAAGGGTGGTTCCATTGCTTCTCCATCTTAAGTATGGCTGAATTTCAAGGAAAGAGGGAAAAAAATCCTAAAAAAAAATAAAATCAATGCAGCCAACACATTTAATACATGGCAATTTTTTAAAAAAATATGTTTTTGGTTTTAATACTACTTTAAAAAAGGTCCACTAGTGGGGCGTGGGGGGTGATGGGGGCCAAGCTTACTGTGTTGTTATGATGACATCAGTGCTATATTATACTGTTCTGCTGTTTTTTGCTACCTAAAAAAGTTGCCAACTATAAATGCCTGTACTACACACTGGAACCCCACTGGACGCCTACTGAGGAGTTTTACTTGTCTGCTGCTATAGATGGTGATTTATTTATCTGTTCTCAAGTGTAGGAAACAAATTTTGCACAACCACTGAGTACAGTGTAGCCAGGCTGGGCTACTACATATTGAAACAAATACATGGTTCTGTTTTCATTTCTCATAGACTTATGCAAGACATCTGGAATCATGGGAGGTGGTGGCAGCCATGGAATGATGCAAACTGACTTTCTAAACCAAGGATCCCAACAGGCTGTGGGACGCAGGAGGAGCCTAGAAGCCTTCATATTTTTTGCCTAGGAAAAGCCTGCCCTCTTGACATTCCAGGAGTCCACAGATTCAAACCTGTTGGTGGGAGCAGGAAATCGAGCCAGCCCTAAAGAACCCATGGGTGACATAGCCAAGGAGCTAGTCACATCCAACAGCCTCTCTGACCATAAGAGATTGCTGAGGAGAGACTGGAGAGTTCACCATCCTCCTTCCTCTTGAATGAATTGCAGCCACACTGCAACCAGACTGAAGGGGACCTTTCCACCGCTAACAGCCTATCACCACCTTTGGGAGTCATTGAGAGGGACTCTGACCCACTTTGTACTGTCAGCAGTATTCAAGTTACTGAAAGTAGTACTCTTTCCACACCCCTCCATTTTTTATTACTGTCGCCCTCAATATCTCTGCCGCATATTGCCATTTATGAATGGCAGCTGTAGTGCATCATCACCACCTCTGCCCAGTTTGTTCCTTGTACCACAGTCTACATTGCACCCTCACCTCTTAACTGCATGCAGGTTTAAGGGCTATCATAAGTGCACCAATGCTCCTCAAAGGGGGCCCAATGTTAGCCGGCAGGAGATCAACCTTAGAGAGTGCCCCCCCTTCCCCTGTCCCCACCAGCCATTTTACATGTTCCCCTCATACTCTTACACTGTTTATGTTATTTAAATTCTAACTACATTTAATCAGCTTGTCAAGGCCTAGCACAGCCACCATTAGTGCATACTAGCAGTATAGTCCTGTTATTGTTAGACTGTTTCACTACTACCTGTAATTGCATCCTAGGATGGCACTGCTACTGTTCCTGTTGATTAAGTTGTCCTACACCTCTTATACCTAGTTTTTTTTTTGTTAGTCCTTTAGTGTGCTGGACTGTGCTACCCCTGTAACTTTTTATATTTTTATTATTTTGCTTGTACCTGTGGGGTTATCAGCTGTCTGAGAGAATAATACATTGAGTTTACCCCCATCATTGCTTGGGATCGGATTTTTCCGATCAGCCGGCAAAAGTGTCCCTGCAGAGAGCTCCGCTATTTCTGACAGTTCTCTGACAGAAGGAACACATGTACAGCGGTTGAAACATTGTATCTATTAGTTTCCATTTAGGATACAGATGTTTCAACCGCTGTACATGTGAAGAAGCTGTCAGAGAACTGTCAGAAATAGAGGAACTCTGCACATACACTTTTTGCCGGTTTGGAATTCTTATTTTCATCCTACTTCTTCTTCTCTTTCTACTTCTTCATCCTCAGAAGAAGAAGAGGATGAGGATGAGGATGAGGATGAAGAAGAAGAAGTAGGATGAAAATAAGAATAATTCCAAGCCGGCAAAAAGTGTATCTGCAGAGCTCCTCTAAGTGTATCTGCAGAATGTCAGATGTATGGAGTGAATGTCCCAGAACTGTCAGAAATAGACCATTTATGACAGTTCTGGGACATTCCCTCCATACAGCGGTTGAAACATTGTATCTATTTGTTTCCATAAATGGATCCATTTATGGAAACAAATAGATACAATGTTTCAACCGCTGTATGGAGTGAATGTCCCAGAACTGTCAGAAATAGACTATTTATGACAGTTCTGGGACATTCCCTCCATACAGCGGTTGAAACCGCTGTATGGAGGGAATGTCACAGAACTGTCAGAAATAGACAGAAACTGTCACAGAACTGTCCTTCTCATCCTTCTCCTTCTTCTCATCCTTCTCCTTCTTCTCATCCTTCTCCTTCTTTCTCATCCTTCTCCTTCTTCTCATCCTTCTCCTTCTTCTCATCCTTCTCCTTCTTCTCATCCTTCTCCTTCTTCTCATCCTTCTCCTTCTTCTCATCCTTCTCCTTCTTCTCATCCTTCTCCTTCTTCTCATCCTTCTCCTTCTTCTCATCCTTCTCCTTCTTCTCATCCTTCTCCTTCTTCTCATCCTTCTCCTTCTTCTCATCCTTCTCCTTCTTCTCATCCTTCTCCTTCTTCTCATTCTCCTTCTTCTCATCCTTCTCCTTCTTCTCATCCTTCTCCTTCTTCTCATCCTTCTCCTTCTTCTCATCCTTCTCCTTCTTCTCATCCTTCTCCTTCTTCTCATCCTTCTCCTTCTTCTCATCCTTCTCCTTCTTCTCATCCTTCTCCTTCTTCTCATCCTTCTCCTTCTTCTTATCCTTCTTCTCCTTCTCATCCTTCTCCTTATCCCTTCTCCTTCTTCTCATCCTTCTCCTTCTTCTCATCCTTCTCCTTCTCCTTCTTCTTATCCTTCTTCTCCTTCTCCTTCTTCTCATCCTTCTCCTTCTCCTTCTCATCCTTCTCCTTCTCCTTCTTCTCATCCTTCTCCTTCTCCTTCTTCTCATCCTTCTCCTTCTCATCCTTCTCCTTTCTCCTCCCTCATCTCCAAGGGCATTTAAATTAAGGTACAGTGTTCTGCACTAATTTAAAGGCTCTCTGAAGCCTAGAAACCCTTTTTATAAGTTAACTTCGTAGCGAATTAATTCGCATCGAATCAAATTTCTTCCTGGAATTCGCCGAATCAGCCGAATCAGCCGAATTGAATTTTTGAAAAATTCGCTCATCTCTACTAAGAACCCATCTTAACCAGCAGTTCTATCAAAGGCAGCACTATAACTGTCAGAGCCTGGGTCCGAACCTAGGTCCGAACCTGGGTCTTCTGCGGTGAGTGGCAATGTTTCTTCTTGCTGAGCCACCTGGAATGCTGGACGGCTCCCTTGACAATTATTTGGATGATCATGCCTTGACCTTGTTTATTGTGAACCTTGAACCCCTTGCTCCTCCCATGAACTTCCTGATATAAGCCATGTCTCTGCACTTCCTGTTTGCCAGATTATTGTGCTTTCCAGCCAGTATTGTGCTCCTTGCCTTCTCTGCTGTCATCCATATTTTGCTACCACTCATTGTGGACCCTTGGCTTGTTGTCGACTACGCTTCTGCCTGATCCCAACCTGCAACTGCTCATTACCGACCTTGGCTTGTTGTCGACTACGCTTCTGCCTGATCCCAACCTGCAACTTCTCATTGCTGACCTTGGCTTGTTTACGGACTATGCTTCCATTTGATCCTTATCTGCTTAATACGCTACTGGACTTCCACTTGCTCACCTCCTGGTGGGGTGATCCTGAGGACCTTGACCTGGTGCTAATCATGCAGCCAAATCCATCTCCACCATCAGAAGCTCTGGTGAAACAGGTTAATACTTAGACTCCGCACCTCAGGTGAGCCCACTCCTCTGCCACAGTGACCTGCCTGTGTACCTATCCTGCTGGTTTCAGGTGAGCCTCTCCACTGCTATAGTCTAGATAGATATATAGATATCTATCTGGTCTTTGAGCCTGACCCCTGATCGTGACATAAACAGTCTCTCAAAAGCTGGTTAGATCCAGAGGTCACTTACCCAAGGTGTAATTTTTATCAGCAGTTCGCAGATCCATATACTTCGGGTTGCCCAGGAAAGGCAGTGGGGTGGGTCCGGGGGGCAGTGACCTGTACCGTATGTGCTGTTTCCACCATGATATAATAAAGTGGAGGGTGATGAGAACAGTGACCAACAGAGCGAGGATTGTGGAGAATCCCATCTTCCTGGAAGAAACACATAGATACCAACTATGAGAGAGGTCAATATTCCTTCTACTGTACAGCCCACCTCTTCACATGACTATGACTCAGTTCAAATTATTTAATTATACTTTTTTTGCTCTTCTCTAGTTGCAAAATAACTGAAATCAGCTCTTTTCTGTACTCTTTTTCCTGTCTCTCTGGCAGAGATGTCCCTGTATTTCCTTGACAATCTGTCCAGCAGGAACATAGACAATTTTTTTTTTTTTTAATGTAGCCACCCAAGACAGGCGTTTCTATTTAGATGTAGTATTTGCCAAGCTGTAGTCAGCCTTAGCTGGATAGTACAGCTTTCCTGGGATCTAGTTATTGTTTTCTTCTGCCTACTGCCAGTAAGTGTCACCAGTGATTCTGTATCTCGCTAGGAGATTTGTCAGTGGTGGGGAATGGGGGAGGGTATAAATATTCAGGAGTGACCTGTGGAAGGCAATTCTCCTCTGGACCTCCTGCCTGGGGGTACAGATGTTGTTGGCTGTTAGATCCTCCTAGAACCTGCTGCCAGAGGAGAGTGACCATGTGGTTGGATAGGGGCTTGGGCATGAGGCCTAGCTTGTGTAATATGGAGATCAAAGTGCCATGCTGTAATGCCAAATGTATTGAGAAGCTGAATTGAAGCTTGTACCTCAGTGGAGTATGGTGGCTACTCCCTAGGGTGTTAGACCATGTTGTACATAATAGCCAAATTCACAGAGTGTAGGAGTAACTTCAAGGTTCTCTTTCTCTGACAGCTCTAAATATCATTTTTGTTCCATTATTTGGAGTCTGCCTTGTCCAGGAGTATTATGTGCCTTAACCCTCTTTCCCAGAAGTATTGAAGTCTATAGCTTGAGGTTGGCCGAACTTGCCCCTATGGGGTCCCACATGTCTTTGGGGGTCAGGGGGTGTTACAGTAGAATAAGGAAGGTGTTAGAACATCTGATGGCATATTCCTTGTTGTCTCGGCTCTTCTTTCCCAGTAAAAACATCCTCCCCATTTTCCTGTTTTTGTGTAACGGACACAGGAATTGAGAGAGATCTCCCCAAGGAGGTTACTGTGAGAAATAGAAATGTGACAAATTTAAACTCTATCCAGGACAGCAAAAGCAATGGGGTGAAGTTAGGCTTTAGATGCAGCAATTTAAATTGGGGCATAACTACAGACTGTGGGGCTTCACAGCAAAATTTTGATGGGGCTCCCCAGCGACCTCCCTACTGTCATTGAGCTTTAAAGTAACAGTATTTCTAAATCAAAGACAGGTAGACAGATTAAATATCAGTGCTTGCTGGGATGACCAGAAGCTGTAGTAATAATAAGTCTACATTGTGTTAGACAACCAAACAAATTCTCCGTACTGCAAGCCAACAAATGAAATCTATGATTGGCAGCAATAATAATTCTGAATTTTCCTGTACATTTGATAACATTTTTTGATTTGAAATTCTATGTTCAAATTGCCTCAACAACCCCTCCGAAGGAGCCCCTTCCACCCTCGGCCCCATAGCAGCCAACTGGGCTGCTATAGCTATTGCCATGCCACTGACTCATATTATTGCAAGCATACATTTCTGTATAGGTTTTTTGAAGGTAATTTGGGAGAACTTTACTTTTTATTAGGTTTTTATTTATTTTGTTAGTAGTAATATTACATTTATAGTATTTTATATATTACTGTTTATTATTGTATAATTTTTATTTAGCATTTTAAGACTTCCTGACTAAATAGTATCTTACTGGGGGAGTTTTCGCCACCTGAAGTTGATGACTCAATTTTCTCAAAATAACATCAAAAAGCAAAAAACAACAAAAAAAAATATCAAAAATATCTATCTGCTACCCTTTTATCATATTAGTCCATCAGACTAGAAGCCGCCTGCATTGCTCTTATCTTATCGCTTCTCTGGGCTGGACGCTCACTGTGCCAAAGATTAGATTTCATTTGTGATTAAAAAGAGCTCCAGGAACTAAGACGGGAAAAAAGATACATTTGTGTATGTAAAACCAAAACTTTTCCTTTTAAATTTTTAGTTTTAGATTTACTTTAAAATGACCTCACAATGTTGTCCTTTCCATATGCTCTCCGAAAACTGGAGGTTCTGATAGTTCAATACATCCTGTCCATGTGCTTTCTCCTTCCTTTTGGTTCTATTTTATAAATGGAATTATAGAGATCTGTAGTCATTGACACATGGTGGGCATTATATAGCTATCTGCACTCCACTAGGTCTTGTGTCTGGCAGAGGAAAGTCTCCTAACATTGACCTCATGTCATGTGACTGAATGCTGAGAGCTGCAAAAGAAGCCAATTCTGGAAGATATGAAATATTGAGTCACAATAAACCACATCCTTTAGGAACCCACCCACCTTTGCTCACCATCATTGTGGCACCATAGTACACTTTGTGCTGTAGACTTTAATTAGCCCTCAGAAATCCATCCCCACCATGAAAGGACTAGTTGGTTGTGTTTGCCCCCAGGTCAAATATTCCAAACCCTCCTCTGCTGGTTAGAAACTCTGCTTTACAGTTTCCTGTTTTTCAGAGTCTATGAGCGAGGTTTGATTGTGGGAACAATAACTTCCCTATATACCAAAAGAACCTAGAGGGCATTCAGGTGTGCAAAGACCTACAGTTTGTTTTCATTTAAAAAAACAGCCACAACCCGAGTAGAAACACCTGGCCACTGCCAGCATGCTGCAGTGAAGGACCATTCTCTCTTTCAGAGGTTTGAAATAACCCCTGCTTAGTCAGAGCTCTATGATTAAAAGGGAGTATGAGGTTTGACTTAGTAGAAGGAATGTCAGACCTCTGGGAATAAGTATGGGATTAGAGAGTGAGTAGAGGGAAGACAATGGGGTTGGATGATGGAAAGAGTAGAGAGCAGTTGGGTTGGATAATAGAAGGGAGTAGAATAAAGGCAGTGGGATGGATGATGGAAGGGAGTAGAGAGGAAGCAGTGACACTGGATAATGGAAGGAAGTAGAGGGAAGACATTGAGGCTGGATCATGGAATGGTAGAGAGAAACCAGTGTGACTGGATAATGGAAAGGAATAGAGAAAGGCTGGATAATGGAAAGGAGTAGAGAGAAGGCATTCAGGTTGGATAATGCAAGTGAGTAGAGAGTAAACATTTGGGTTTGATAATGCAAAGGAGTAGAGAGGAGACAGTTGAGTTGGATAATTATTATACAGGAGTTATATGGCTCCAACAGTTTGCACAGCACTTTACAAAATGAAGATAGACATTACAGTTACAATACAATTTGGTACAAGAGGAAACAGAGGGCCCTGCTCATTAGAGCTTACAATCTAGGAGAACAGAGGCCATAATGGAGGGGAATAGAGGGAAGGCAATTGAGTTGGATAATGGAAGGGAGTCAAGGGAAGGCAGTAGGGATGGATCATGGAGTGTTGGTAAGCAGTGAAGCTGCAAAATGGAAAGAGAGTAAAGCGAAGACAGCAGGGTTTGATAATGAAAAAAGGGATTGAGAGAAGGGAGTGAGGCTGGATAATAAAGGGAGTAGAGAGAAGGGAATGAAGCTTGGTAATAAAGGGGTTCAAATAAAGGCAGTGAGGCTGGATAATGGAAGAGAGTAGAGGGAAGGCTGTGATGATGGATAATGGAAGGGAGTAGAGAGCAACTAGTGTGATTGGATAATGGAAAGAAGAGAAATAATTGAGGCTGGAAAATTGGCAGGAGACATTAGAGAGAAAGCAATTGGGTTGGATAATAGAAGGGAGCAGAGAGAAGCAGTGAGGCTGAATAATGGAAGAGAGTAGAGGGAAGGCAGCGAGGGTTGGATAATGGAAGGGAGAAGAGAGAAGGCATTTGGGTTGGATAATGGAAGGAGAAGAGAGAAGGCAGTAGGGTTGGATAATGGAAGGGATAGAAGGAAGGCAGTAGGGAATGGGGGTAGTGAGAAGGGAGTGAAGCCACATAATGGAAAGGGAGTGAAGTGATGGCAGTGGAGTTTTGATAATGAAAGGGAGTAGAGAGAAGGGAGTGAGGTTGGATAACGGAAGGGAGTAGGACAGAAGGGAGTGGGGCTGGATAATGGAAGAGAGTGATGGACTGGGGTTTCATAAGAAGGGAGTGAGGTTGGATAATGGAAGGGAGTAGAGAGAAGGCAGTAACACTAGATAATGGAAGATAGTAGAGAGAAGGCAAACACAGAAGACAGTGGGGTTGGATAACACAGGGGAGTAGGGAGAATTGGATAATGGAAGAGAATAGTGGGAAGGCAGTGGAGTTGGGTAATGGAAGGGAGTAGAGGGAAGGCAATGAATCAAGATGGGAAATGGGTTGAAAAGAGGCAGCAAGACATTTTAAGGTGGGGCAGAAAGATGGAATTGTTTGGGAGACTAAGATTGAAGGAAGGGGGAAGAGAAGGTGAGGTGGGAACAGAAGAGGCAGCAGAACCAAAATTTGTGGAGGAGGAACAAAAACAAAAGCAATGAGATTGGATTATAAAGGAATGGGAGGGAGAAGGCAGAAAGACCAGGTTGTTAAGGGGAACATATGGAGGAAGCAGGGCAGAGTATTAAATGTGGTGCAGGAGTCGACAAGATCATATTGTGTGAGGGAGAGGTGTGATGTGAAAGTAGATTGTGGAAAACAAGAGAGATTATAAGCAATGAGGCTTGGCTGTAGAAGAATGACAGACTGGAGGAATGCATGTATATACAGTATATAGCAGAGGTTACTTAAACTGGTGTGTGCAAAATCTGGAGCAGCTCAGCAGAGAAACCAATCAGCTTCCAGATTTTATTGCCAAAGCTTAACTGAACAAGCTGAAGTTAGAAGCTGATTGGCTGCCATGCACAACTGCACCATATTCTGAGTGCTCCAGTTTTAGTAAATCCTCCCCATTGTGTATGTATCCACAGGCAGTGATAGAGGTTAGGCATTGTATAGCATACCTGCCCCAAGTTCAGACCACTGATCACAGCACCTGTCACTACGCCAGAAGCTGTGATTGTAGGTTTAAGGCAAGACCAACTTGGCAACACACACACACACCAAAAAAAAAGCTA